TCAAGCAAGGTTAGTGTTCTCTCTCTTCATGTACTGTACTGTACTTTGTTTCATATTTTTGTGGTTAAAAAAAAAATACACATGGTTCAGAATGGATTAACCTTATTTACATTGAACCTTATGGGGAAATTTGATTCCAGTTGCGACCAATTTGGGTCGCGACCAGAATCGTGGAATGAATTAAGTTCGTGAACCGAGGTACCACTGTACTTCACTCATGATTTAAGACTGACTGAGATTTAAGAGTGTCCCTCATTACACAAGTTCCCCCACCAATTCCATTCTGTTGGTTTACCAAACTTCTTATGGCATACTCTGCCCTACAGTCTCAAACTAACCTGCTATCCCACTGGCAATATTGAAAAAGAAATGATTTGCCAATCCAGTCAACTTTACTATCTTGTCCTTGTCTTTCTCTGAGATGAAAGCAAAGGTTCCAAATAGTGTCTTTATGAAAAATGCATTTTACCTCCACTCCAATGTTCTGGTGTGTTTTATTTCTGACCATGCTATGAGCAATTTACCTGAACTGTTGGGACATCTTCAAAAGCTTTAATGAAGTCCTCCTCATCAACAGCACCAGCTCCTTCTTTAGTTGCTAGAAGATACAAAAGGGAGGAAAATCTTTACTTCTTTACTCAGCAAAGTTGAAACAGGATAAGAAAGTAATGGCTATGAAAGCTCAAGACATTTATATAAACTACATGTGAAATATGTCTTATTCGCATAAGAATAAAGAAGACAAAGATAGAAGTATGCAATCTCTTCAGAAAAATATTTTCTTAAAGAAAACATTAAATCTATCTAAGACGACAGAATATTGCCTGGAATAGATGGAATTTGTTTTTTCTAAAGTGGTGAGGTGTGTCTATAATTAATGTAAATGTGATAACTTGGGCTATAAGAATAAATCAGGCAGATGGACCAACTCTTGAAAACATTAATTAGATTGGACTATTTATTTATGAAAGTTTTCTGAAAGTACTGCAAAATATATTTATTAAATATTTCCCCATCATTGGTTTTGATTCAGTGTATTTCAATAAGTTAGGCTTAATGTCTGAAAAATTACTGGTTTTAGAAGAACCACAGAAAATTGCATCTGAATAAAGTTCTGAACTCAAGAATTTCTATTTTGTTAAAACGTCAGAAATTTTTCTTTAAACATTTTAAGCAATGTTGTTAAATGATGTACAGGTAGTCCTCATTTAGTGACCACAACTGGGACCAGCAACTCGGTCACTAAGCAAAGTGGTCACTAAGTGAAACTGCGACTGTGCTTATGATCTTACTTCAGCTTTCCTTTGTGTACAGATCTACAAAGGTCATAAATGCGAGGACTGGCTGCATTTTTCATCACTGTTGTAACTGTGAATGATCACTAAATGAAGCAGTTGCTAAATGAGGACTATCCATAGTTATAATAAACATATCAGATAATATGCTTGTTGACATGACACAATCTCAAATATTTTAGATAAATCTTTTAGTATGTTCCCCAAATCAACAAATAGGTCCACTGATTGAAGTGCTATTTTCTACTATTCCAACTATACATAAAAAATGGGGAGGGGAAAAAAGGTTTAAAGAAGTAATGTAGGTGTTTAGGCCTTAGGTTTTGTAAGGACCTAACCTACCTGGAGCCTTTGAGACTAAGGCTACTGCCCCTACCCTACGAGCAGTGCCCACCCCCCCTTTTCGAGAGGTTGAAGGAGCCTTTGAAGAGGTTGAGGAACTGGCTGAGGATGGTCGGTTCCCGTCCACAGAGTCATCATCATCAAAATTTTTATCTAAAAAGCAAGCACAAGATAAAATTCAGAGAGTTACTTATAGCCATCTCCCATTTTGAAGCAAGTTTGCTCTGCAAATGTGAACAAATGAAATATATATATTCTAGCAGGACACAACCTGTTACTCAGTACTATGAACATGGAGATATGTGCCTGGACCCTGTAACTTAAAACTAAACATACATTACATTGCCTGCAAGATCCAGTGACAGGGAGTTTCACAAGGTAACTGTGTAAAGACTGAGTCAAGTCCATGGGTATACTGTAAATTGTTGTGTAACAACCTTCATGTCACTTTCTCGTCCTACAAAAAAAAGTTCCTTATGTAAATCTCCAAATTATTTTTGTAATTGTCCTTTCTCAAACTAAATAATTGGGGATTTCTATTAGGCATTTTAGTATTTCTATGTTTTGATTTTTTTAAAACATCTATTTCATGAATGTTTTATTCTAATATTGAATACTACTTCTCTGGATGCTCCTCTATTACAAAAATGTGATTTACAAATATGGGCTGAGCTCCAGGGAGCTGTTTATGAGGGGCTTTTGTTACTTCTGTGGAATAGTTTTATTCTGATGGTTAACTCCCACAATCATATCAGAACCTAGTTTGGAAGGCTCCATAGTGTCAAAAGCATAAGGCTACAGGTTCACAAAACTAATTTCCCAGTTCTTTGGGGTCTGGCCACTGGAAATAAATGTCTGTGTGATATCTGACGAATCAATCAAATGTTAAAGTTTATTGCTGACGGTGATGCCATGCCAAATGCCTTTGTTTAAGTCTGTTTCTGCCCAACAACATATTCAACACACATCTCCCTTCTTACCATGAATCTGAACTAATCTAAAGTGAAACATGTGAGAAATAGAGGCCTAGATATAATGCCACTCCCTCTGATTTCTTAAAGTGACTCTGTGTACTATTAGCAATAAGAAGATTCATGCTCTGCATACTTATTTCCATGCAAGTCATAAGCAATGAAATAACTGGACCATGCACTCATAACAGGGTGCAGAGTAACACCAATAAAGCCCCAATAAAGCTATCTGCTGATCTTAGTCTAATTTTTGTTATCATCACTCATGGATAAGATGTGAGTATCACCCTTTTCTTAGGGTGATAAAATTGTACATACAATCTGAACCATTCAATTACTATACAAACTAGGTCTTTATCAAAGGAAAGAGTTTTAATTCAGAACAATGAGATCTTGTTGCTGAGCAGATTAAAAGTAAAATAAATAGCATAAATAGACAAACAGAAGGTTTTTCTCTCTCTCTCTCATACACTCCTCAGGGGTGTGGTTTCCTATATAAAAGTGTTAACCAAAGGAAGCATGATTTTCAGTTGCTCCTTTCAAGAAGCATATTTCATTTTTATAATGCATTAAAAAGAAAAAATGCCTTGTAACAACACTCAAGTAAAACATAGCTCTTTAAACATGAGATACAAACAGCCAGCATTTCACAGAGGAATTATAAAAAGACATTTAGCTATTTGTGAGAATTAAAAAAAATCAATCTAACAGTTTGAATAACATTATATTTTCACACTTAGTTTTCACTGTCAATAATCTAAGCTATTCAGTTCTAGACATCAGGTTTTTGAGGAGCACGTGTGCAAAGCAGAAAGACAAACAAAGAACAGGTTAAAATCTGAACATGGATTTCAGGAAATGAGAGGCTAACAATCAGATACATACTATAAAGTCAGATTAAAATCCACCCCTCTATGACAGCTGATTGCTGCATAACAGTTTATACTGAAGGATGAGGTTTTGCAAGCCAAACTACACGTTTCATAAAGCTATATCCAAACCTGCTTTGCTTCCACTGGTTTCAATGGACTTTAAACCAGACAGTACACAGTTCCCTACATTTAGCCATTATCCATCCATCATTGCTGTTTCTTCCATTCTATAAAGCTCATTTATGAATGACTGCCTAGCTTTACATAGACACATGCCTTGTTTAAAGAGGCCTTTGTCTGCTCCCTATTAACAGTTAAGCAAATAAGAAATGCTTAAAAATCTTCTTTGATTCCTCACTGAAGGGGGGAAATCACACACACACACACAAATTGCTTACAGGAACATATCCTTTTGCAAATAAGCTTCTTCAACATTCCTTCATATTTTCCATAGCGAGCTTAGATGTAACACTGTTTCACAGACAGCTGCAGCTTCCAAGTCCAGGGCATAATCAATCCTTGCCCCTGTATTCATTAAGCATGCAGTTTCACACCCAGCGTTCAACAGCCCAGGCTTGAGCACTGTTTAGATGCTTGTGATTGGAGAGTTCAGCCAGCCAATGTACCCTTCCAAGCTTTTGAGGGGCAAAACTGGAAGGTATTAAAGGCACCCACAGCAGACAATCACTCCAGAGCTGACTTGGCTAGCAAGAAAAAAGAGCTGAAGTTCATCCCTCAGGGAAGTCTAATGGGAACATCTTAACAGCTGTCATCATCTGTCCATGACAAATACGTTCGCATACATTTGTCATTATAATGCTTTAAAAGCTTGCTTCCTAACATCAGCGTAGCAGGTATAAAATTACAAGAAACAGAGGTGATGCCAGGAATTCACGAAACTGCATGGAGAGGGAGAGTCAAAAATAATGCCCCACCCTCAGCTTTACAAATTCTCTAAAAAAATGGCAAGAACACAGGCATACCTCAGAGATACTGCAGGTTTGGTTTCAGACCACCGCAATAAAGTGAATATTGCAATAAAGCAAGTCACACAAATTTTTTGGTTTCCTAGTGCATATAAAAGTTGTTTACATTACTCTCTAATCTATTGAATGTGCAATAGCATTATGTCTAAAAAACAATGTACATACCTTATTTAAAAATACTTTATTGTTATAAAATGCTAATCATCATCTGATACACCTGCTCAACAGAGTTGCCACAAACCTTCAATTTGTAAAAAAAAAAAAAAAGCAATATCTGCGAAGCACAACAAAGCAAAGTACAATAAAACAAGGTATGCCTGTACTTATATAATACCCAAATTTTGCCACCTTCAGCATTCGTAACTTTATTCCTAAATCTGTTGGTTTTGATTAAATTCACAATTGTGTTTTATTCCTCCTTTCCTTTCAACTTTTTAGAGATTGAAGTGTTTTTGTAACTATTCATTTAATTCATTTATTTAACATGTTATACCATCAACAACCTAAAGTGAACATCTTTTCCAGAGTAAATTATCTGAAGCAACTAGAGAAACTATACTCCCAGAATACAGATAGTTCTTGCTTAACAACCCTAATTGCAACTGGAATTTCCATCGCTAAGCAATGCGGTCTTTGGGTGAAAGATCACATGACCACACCGCTTAGCAACAGCAGTTCTGGTAGTCCCAGTTAAGGTCGTTAGGCTAGGATTGTGCCATTGTTAGGTGAGGACCTCACACTTCTCCTGCCCTGCCATGCTCGTCTCCACTTTCACTCCCCCCGCCTATCTCCTCCCCATCTCTCCCTTTTTGGCCACCCTGCACTCCACTACCCCTGCCGCCCCACTCTGCCCCCAGCTGACATTCACCATCTTCTTCCTCCCACTGCTGATGAGGTGCACCTCAGCCAGGCTCACCTCATCAGTAGCGGGAGGAAGAAGACAGCAAAGATCAGCTGGGGGAGGAGGTGGGGGCAGCAGAGTGCAGGGCAGCCAAAAGGGTAGAGATGGGGGGAGATAGACGGGTGGGGGAGTTGAAGTGCACACTGCAGTCATAAATGTGGCAGGCTGCCAAGCACCTGAATTTTGATCACTTGACCATGGGGGCGCTGCAACAGCCGTAACTTCAAGGACCAGCCATAACTACCATATGTTCAGCACCACTGTAACTTTGAATGGTAGCTGAACAAATGGCCGTTAAGTGAGGACTACCTGTATTATGTATTGCTATCTAACCAACAACACAATACCAATTATAAGAAATATCGCAATTTTAATCCTAAAACAAATTCATCTCATGCAAGGGAGGATTTCCTAGCTATCATCTCAATAAATTCCCTAAACCTGTACAAGTCTCTCAGATATGAATAAAGGTCTACAGCCAGAGAAGAAAACCAGAGAAACTTAGGAGGCATAAGCACTTTCCTGCTCAAGCCAGACATTTCTGGATGAAAGCCTGTAAATATGTAGTTCTCAGAACAAGACTATATTTTAAAGTAATAATTTTTTAAAAATTAACATCATTCTTTTTACAAAGCATGGTCATTTATCCTTAACTGCACAGGGAATAGGTCACATATCCGGAAGGCACCAAGGCTGGGAAAGGTTGGACTAGGCTGTCAATGGAATCCATTATCGCTAAAGCTTCACTGCTACAACCTTTAGTACAACTTTTTTCAAATCTATATTAACAAAAACAGGTTAAATATACTAATTTTCATAAATGCCAGTGGAAATAGATGTTATAAATCTCTTCCCCAGGAAAATCCCACCTCCTCTGTTTCCAGCTAATAACCTTGCCTGTGTCATAAATGGCCTCTTATCAAATCTTAGTTAGAAATACCAAAATTCATCCCATCTAACACTTATCTGGCTTTAGAAAAGCAAAATGTCCTTCAGACTGAGCTCGACTCCTGATGACTTCATGAACAAATCCATGAGTTTTCTCGACAACCGCATGGGAATAATTTTGTCACTGCCTTCTTCTGGAAAGGTTTTTCAACTTCGCAGATGAAACTACAGCTCTAGAATGTCCTGGTGGTCTCCATCCAAATACTAACCAGGTCCAATCATGCCACCTAGCTAGGATACCTGACTTTACTAATTTGGGCCTCTGTTAAGAGTCAAAAGTTACCTTCCATATATTGGATGCTATGTTTCAAAGTTTCTTACTTTAAACCATAAACCAATACGATTTCTATTACTACTACTGCTATTTCACTCAACTGCATTCCCTGAATTGTTCATGACAAAGAGGAATTAAATCAGCAAAGGCCATTATATATCGGCCTATTCTCACATGCATCTTGCTTTTCATTATTCTTAC